AGCTCTGTTTTAATGATGGAATAGTTCCATCTTAAATATTTTGGTCTTTATGTAGCTGGGTATTAGTACGGATTTTTGTCAATGCTGTGTTCAGTATCACCCCCACTCTCGCCAGTCCGTCCTTTTACTAGGATTGAGCTGCACAGAATTTTCCAGTATGGTTTTGGACTGACTGAAATGTAAAGAACGGGATAATTTAAGAGAGGGCTTAATAGACCTCAAAGAAATTCCTTAACTAGCATCATACTGAAAACATTTTGATTCCTGGTACAGCAAATATGCTGTGGCATTAGCTCTTCATTAAAAAATGAATGACCACAGGACCAGGATGTGGCTAGTCTTAAAAGCTACTGTGCCCATTTATGCCGATGCAGTCTTTGGGGAACTGACTTGTTTTTTATCATAAAAGTAATGAGGAGTTACTTGAGGGATTTTTTCCGAAACTTTAAACTGTGTGTAAATTCCTGAGGATCAAATTAAGCTGAAGGTAAATAGCATTCTGAATGGCGTTTCAGTCAACGCAGGCTAATTGACAGAAACATGGCTGATTCAGATATAGACTCTTCATTAAGGGGCCCAAAGATCCCACATGCCAATGATAAAAGAGCATCTTTCATAATGTGAGGTTTGGGGGCTCCTCAAATGATTACATGTCACCTTCTAGATGAACAGTCAGTTGTTACAGAGTGGAAAAAGGAGAACTGGGCAATGGTTCTATGTTCACCCCCATGTCATGCAAGATCCATTATCGGATGTGTTCAATGTACATACAGTAAAATTCTGAAACCCAATTTTCAAGGTAAGAAATTTTGAGTCCCTTTTGGGGGAGGGCAACGTTATAGGCCTCATGGTCTACTAGGGATGCCAGCCTGCAGGTGGGACCTGGGGATCCCATGGAATTACAACTCAACTTCAGACTACAAAGATCAGCTCCCCTGGGGAAAATGGATGCTTTGGAGGGTGGCCTCTATGGCATTGTACCCCACTGAGGCCCCTATTCTGCTCAGGCTCCATCCCAAATTGGCAGCCCTATGGTCTGCTGAAACTGGGGTTGCCAGCTCTGGGTTGGGAAATGTCTGGATATTTGGGGGGGGGGTGGACCCTGGGGAGTGTGGGGTTTGAAAAGGGGAGGGACTTCAGCAGAGTAGAATGTCATACAGATCAACTTCCAAAGCAGCCATTTTCTCCAGGGGAACCGATCTTTATCAGCTGGAAACCAATTGTAGTTTCAGGAGATTTCCAGCCAACACTGGAGACTGGCAACCTTAACTGAAGCAACCAACACAAGCATATGCAACCAACAAGCAACCGTTATGTCTGGGTACACAATTAACACCATTGCCACCTTTCTGGGGGCTAGGTATGGTAACCTGAACGGCTCCTTGCTCTCCATTGATACTGTACCTGAGAGTAAAGAATCCACCAGGATCCACAGGGGCATCCTCATTTTACCCCAATGGCATGGGCAAAGCAGTCATCAATGTCGGACTTTGCCAGTTGGTCACATGGGGAACCAGGGGGTGCCCAGCTTTAAGCAAAGCCAGTGACTTGGTATCACAGCTCATGGTTCATAGGCACGCTGTTCTGAGATCATTTTTGGTCACATACATTGCAGTCTTCTCCCCTCTCCCTCCACGTGCCAGGAGCATTCTCTGTGATGTGGCCAAGCAACATGACCCAAATAGAGTAGTTGGTAGTACTGCCAAGTGCCTGCTGGCAGCAGATGATTGCCCAGTGCTGCAACTCATTGCCTGCCACTAGTAGGTTTGGTTCACAAAGAAAGACAATAAAACAGGAAATGCAGATTTCATAGCTGAAAACTAATTCACTCACTACCAAGTGCCTGCTGGCAGCAGACGACTGCCCAGTGCGGCAACCCATTGCCTGCCACTAGTAGGTTTGGTTCACAAAGAAAGACAATAAAACAGGAAATGCAGATTTCATAGCTGAAAACTAATTCACTCTAATGAGTTAATAAGAATATTCAAACTGTCACCGTCCATTTACACATCCACTGGAGATCCTGCTGGTGTGGAGGGACCCATCCTCTGAATCTTCACTCTGTATAAAGAACAGGCTTAGTGGTGGTCTCTAGTGATACGGTCCCAGCCAACGGGCGGGCTAGCTACAAAAGACCGCATTTCACCAAGGCTTTCTCAAAGTTGGAGCCGTTTTACAGTACAACAATGTTTTGTCCAATAAATCAGGGGAAATACTTCTAAATAACAAGCCACTTAAATCAACAGGCTCCAAGGGGATCCTCAACTTGATGTCCTACCCACATCATATAGCCCACCCATCCAATTGCTCCTGCTGATATCTTATTGAAAGTTATTATCATAGGACAAATAACTGCAGTGAAGATTTCAGAAGGATAGACTGTCACTTCCCATGTGGAGTAGCTCCTAGACGGAAAGGCTAAAAATGAAATAACCAGAAACTGCCACTTTCTCATTGCTAGTCAACATTTGTACTTGTTCCCATGGAACACTTTAAACAAGATTTCATGACAAAAATGCACCATAGTAAATGTCAAGGCCAAGAACTGGAAACGGGGGTGGCTGGAATGCTGATTATTTACTTAGAGACTTTGAAACTCAAAGCAATGTTTAAAAAAAGATTTCCTGTGGCATTGTAAGTACTTTTGAGAAACTGGTTTATAGAAACATGGATTATTGCATGCAATAGGAGCTAGCCACTTTAACGTATGCATGCTGTAGGAAAGTGTGCATTGCTGCTAAAGTCTGGTAATGTGCTGCTGAAGACTGGTAAAGTTCCAGAGAGTGAGCAAGCGGGAGAGAGATTAGATATCCCTATTAGTTCAAGAAGAAAGTAAGATCACGTTGAGAAGTTGGAAGAGTGGCTGAAAAGTTCTCAGTTTAAGTAGAATGAGGCGGGAGGAGTGGAGAACCACATAGGCTGCTCCGAGCTCCCTGAAGGATAAAAATGTAAGAGGTGCATAGCAATATTATCCTTCATGTTTTTTAGCCAGAGACCTTTCCATGTGCCACACAGAAGAGTCTGTCACACTGTTGATCTCCATGATTCACGTCACAGACATTTCCCAAAACAAAGTTAGAGTCCAATGGCACCTGTAAGACCAACAAAGTTTTATTCAAGGTGTGAGTTATTTTTTCTAGTGATTCCATATTGTAATTGTCGTTTTACTATATGGGGCTTTCTCACAAGAGCCTCTTCACATTGCAGTTATTGAGGGGAAAAGTCATCTTGTATTGGGTTTTATACCTCAGAAATGGTTGAATGAATTGAGTCTGAGGTATAGCTGCCATACTGATGTTCTAAGTTTGAGCCCAGTGGCACTTTTAAGACCAGCAGAGTTTTCTTCGAGGTATGAGCTTTCCTGCACATGCACACTTCCTCAAATACCAGAAACAAAGTCTGAGTTCAGTGACACCTTTAAGACCAGCAGAGTTTTCTTCGAGGTATGAGCTTTCCTGCGCATGCACACTTTCTCAAATACCAGAAACAAAGCCTGAGTTCAGTGGCACCTTTAAGACCAGCAGAGTTTTCTTCGAGGTATGAGCTTTCCTGTGCATGCACACTTTCTCAAATACCAGAAACAAAGCCTGAGTTCAGTGGAACCTTTAAGACCAGCAAAGTTTTCTTCGAGGTATGAGCTTTCCTGTGCATGCACATGAAGGCTCATACCTTGAAGAAAACCCTGCTGGTCTTAAAGGTGCCACTGGATGCAGACTTTGTTCTGCTGCTTCAGACCTACACTGCTACCCACCTGAATCTGTACTGATATTATGTTTGATTCTTTTGGGTTTTTATTTGTAGGTATGAAACCTTATCCCCAAAGAAGCTATTAAGCTATCAAGGACAAAAAATAATGGTTTTATTGCAGGTATTTCCCAAATGAAGGTACTAAACAACTTTTCAGATAAACAATAAAAAATCCAAAACATTATAGCTACTTCTTACCATAAAAATTATAATGAACATCTAGCATGGGTAATTATAGTGAAAATATAGATCTAATTACGGTTCCGTTTTTCATTGGAAACATGGATTTCCATGAGATTGCACATAAACAAAACCGAGTCTCATGATACCTTAAATGCTAACAGATTTATTATGTGTCTTAGGCTTTCTCGTATTCAAGCCCACTTTGTCAGATGTAGTCTAGGGCAATTTATGCCACAGTTAATCTGCTAGTATTTAAGGTGCCACAAGATTCCTTTATATTTTTGCCTCAGTAAACTACTGACCACTCTGGAGTTTGTCATTAGTGGAGCATACTTCTTTTCTTATATTAATTATTATTTTATGCTTCTTCTGGGAGCAGTTTATATAGCTATAGGGATAGTGAAATAAGCATCAGTTTTAATTTTGAAATATTTTATAAATTGTTCCATAATTCTAGCAATCTACCTGCTGGAACCAGTTCTAGGTACTATTATTATTTTATTATTCTTTTATTATATTTGGGCTGTGGACTCTGAATTAGCACTATTCTTGATGACATGACTTACAATTAAAGGGCATGGAGGTCCACTTGTGTTATGGATTTCTGGCTATTATTATGAATGATATTTTTCATTTTCTGGCTTTTTAAAAATACTTTTTGTATATATTTTGGATTTCAACAGTAATATAAAAATACATATGATTTTACATAAGATTTGTGCAACAGAACAGTAAAGACAAACATCACTTAAGTAAAAAAACATTAAATATTAAATAACCAAAAGCAAATAAAATAAAGGTGTAAGCACTACAACTAATCTGGGAATCTGCTATTGCAACACATCCAATGAAGCGGTTTAAAACAAGTATAAAAAAAGATTAGAACTTAAGTATGTTCCAGTCTACTTGGAATGCACAAATGCTCATCTCAGAGCCCAGAACATTCTCAGTGCTCACTTGACCACCTTTTCAATTGCTTCTCTACTTAAACCTTTACACGATAGGTCTCATGTCAACTTTTCCTATCTTTTAAATTGTAACCCCACAATACTTTTCACGATTTATCCTCGCTAGCATTTGGATGAAAGCTGAGGATTCGTTGGAGATTCAGTGTAAGATTTGAGTTCATAAGCGATGCCACTGTCAACTTCCATGGATTTCTAAGAGAACAGGAGCCTTACATTTCTGTAGAGGTAGATCTTTCCAGACTTAGAACTCTGGAACCTCAGATGAATGGGGTAGCGAAGAAGTCTGTCCTCAGAATGCCGAGTGTTCACTTTGTTGATACTTCTCTTTGCTTCTTGTCTTATGGGGACCGAAAAGGTTCTTTGCCATAGGAATATTTGATAATTGGCTGGCATCTCTCGCAAGTTGTAGATCACCACAAACATCTTCACCACAGTCTTGTTAGGATTAAATAAAGTCACTTGTATTGTTCCTGAAGGAGGTACCCGATAACCCCTTTTACCAAGGGACTCTAGAGCAATTACACCCATATAGGGAGAGGGGGCACTGTCATCAGAAACACTGTAGAACTGGAAGAGTCATGTGTTGGACAGAAGATGCTGCTTGCTCCCACTTCAGCTGTGCAACTGTCTACAACACCCAGGGATCTAAATGATAGTTCAAACAGACTCTTCACCAGTCGATTCTGCATCTAGCATTCAATCCACATTGTCTGAACTGGGAGGAAAAAGTGCAGCTCAAAACCACATTCAGATACCTTGAGGCAACACTGTACTGACCCCTGAATGGCCATAAAATGGCCATAAATCTATGCAGAAGGTACAATAAAATCTGATGATCAAAGAAAGCGAAAGCAGCATGGAGTGTGGAGGCTACCATAAAATATGATGATCAAGGGAAGTGAAAGCAGCATGCAATGCAGAGGGGAATTTGTGTTCCATTGTGGGTTTCATAAAACAATGGCGAATCAGCCAAAGTTTCCAAGGAGGCTAAGACTTGTTACAGGTGGTGCACTGCAACTCAGAAATGGTTTCTCATGGCTATCTGGGTCATTCCCTTTACTTATACAATGTAGTGGACTTTAATGCATATTTCCTCCTTTGTTTTAAAGCTTGGCAAGCAGAGGAATCCTGCCAACCTAGCAGTTCGAAAGCAAGAAATTGCAAGTAGATAAATAGGTACCACTTCGGTGGGAAGGTAACAGCGTTCCATGTGCCTTGGTGTTTAGTCATGCTGGCCACATGACCATGGAAACGTCTTCGGACAGCGCTGGCTCTTTGGCTTTGAAACGGAGATGAGCACCGGCGCCGCAACCCTAGAGTCGGATTCGACTGGCTTTTGAGCAAGGGAACCTTTACTTTTACTTTTTAAACAGAGGAAAGGACTCAAAGCAATCTGTATAAATTGTCATATCTTAAGTCAGGGGTCATTTCCTGCAGGAGCACACAGGAATGGAGCTCCGGCAGTAAAGAGCCCAGGGGGCGGGCACATGCAGCAAGCCCCACCCCCTGCTCCCAGCAGCCCTCAGTCAAAGCAAGAAGCAGCCAAGTAAGTTGCAGAGCCCCCCCAGTCCAAAACAGTCCAGTGGCACCTTTAAGACCAAGATTTATTTAGGTACAAGCTCTTCCTCCTCTGCGAGGATAGATCTGCACGTTCCCCCCCCCCAATAGCTAGCAATCCAAAACAGTCCAGTGGAGCCTGAGCGTGTGGTGTTGCCTTCTGACACACTTCCGGTGATTGTGGAATATGCAAATGAGTTATGCTAATAAGCTCCTGCACCTCTTTTTCTACGAAATGACCCCTGTCTTGAGCCATATTTTATGTTAATCACTTCTGTTTAGGGAAAACATCTTTTCCAAGAGTGGAGATGTCAGTCTGTTGCTGTGGGTTGACAGTTCCAGTCTGGTACTTGAAGTGTGAGAATTTGCACTAGAGGATCTTTGTTACAACACTGGCATAATTCTGTCCTTTGTGGTGATGAATGAAGAACAGCTGGAACATCCTAATGTGCGTGTTCCATCCTGAATCCTGACTAACTCCTGTGATCTTTGAAACCACTATACATAAGCCCTGTTCACAAGTTAGGGTGAACACACATACAATCCATATAGAATGTACACTTGATTTTTTAAAAAATGTGTACATTGAGTCATTCTGTGTTATACAAACTCCACATTTATTCAGGTACTGGTCCCTGGTTTCAATTGCAAAGTGAATGGTGTTGGCTCATAGTTACAAACAGATTCACAATTGTACATGCTGGATGTATATGTTCATTGTAACATGTGAACAGGACTACAGTGCACATTTCCTAGTTGCTAGAATTTCCTGTTTGCACATTTCCTAGTTATTAGAATGCTAACTAGCAGGAAGGAGGACCTCTTCAGCTAACCAACATTACTCTGTTTCAGTTCCATGTCAACCAACCTTCAGCCCAACTGGTTTCTATTTCTTTTGTTATATTTTTAACTATTAAAAACATCAAACTGAAATAAAAAATAAAAATATAACAATAATGGTGGCGAGTTTACACATATGCATCTATAAAAGGTTTCTAAATATCTAAAAATATGTCGACACACAATTGTCATCTATATACCATACATTCAAATATTGATAATGTTGTAAGGTCCTCAACCCATTGGATTATGAGAGGTGGGCATTTATTTCTCCAGAGTTGTAATATAAGCTTTTTGTTGTTGTTCAGTCGCACAGTCGAGTCCGACTCTTCGCGACCCCATGGACAATCTCCCGCCAGGCTCTCCTGTCTTCCGCCGTCCTCCGAAGTTGGCTCAATTTCATGTTCGTTGCATCGCTGACACTGTCTAACCATCTCATCCTTTGCCGTCCCCGTCTTCTTTGACCTTCAATCTTTCCCAGCATCAGGGTCTTCTCCAGTGAGCCCATTGGATTATGAGAGGTGCAGCACTTTAACAGCATCATCTTAATATAAGCTTTTTAGCAACATTAATATCAGAGAGGGGCCAATTTTAGTGCCCATAAGCCTCCCAAAAAGAGAGAAATAGTTAAGAACGTAAGAACATAAGAGAAGTCAATGTTGGTTTAGGCCAGTGGCCCATCTAGTCCAACACTCTCACACAGTGGCCAAAAATACCAGGTGCCATTAACTAGGCTGGGTAACTGTGTAGCTGAAACCTTATTCACGTGTAAGGCTTGTGCAGGCACTTTCTATGTGTTGCATCACAACAGGTGACTTATAGTGTACAGTCTTCTGAGCCTATGTGTGTGTGTACAGTCCATTGTGTGTGTAGCAATATAGTCCATAAAGCAAATATCAATCTCATTCTCTAACAGTACTTTCTTTTATCCTTTTTAACCCTACTGCTCAGCAATTTCATTGAGTGCCCACGAGTTCTTGTATTGTGAGAAAGGGGAAAAAGTACTTCTTTCTCTACCTGCTCTATCCCATACATAATCTTGTAAACCTCTGTCATGTCACACCTCAGTTGTCATTTCTACAAGCTAAAGAGCCCCAAGCACTTTAACCTTTCTTCATAGGGAAAGTGTTCCAACCCTTTTATCATTCTAGTTGCCCTTTTCTGTACTTTTTCCAATGCTATAATATCCTTTCTGAGATGTGGCGACCAGAATTGCACAGAGTATTCCAAATGAGGTCGCAGGATCGATTTACACAGGGGCCTTATGATATTCACTGATTTGTTTTCAATTCCCTTTCTAATACGCCCACTCGCCCATCCTTAACAGATCCCTTTGGAATGCCTCACAATCCTCCCTGGTTTTTACCACCCTGAACAATTTCATGTCATCCACAAATGTATTCACTTCACTGCTTACTCCCAACTCAAAATCATTAATGAACAAGTTAAAAAGCATCGGATCCAGTACTGAGCCCTGAAGTACCCCACTACTTACCACCCTCCATTGTGAAAATTGCCATTTATACTCACTCTCTGTTTCCTATTAATTAGCCAGTTTTTGATCCACAAGAGGACTTGTCCTCCTATCCCATGACTATT